AGGTGGTGCCATCGGTCCGTGAAATGTCGGTTTCGCTATCGCTGCTGCTGCTGTCGCTGCTACGTTCGCAGGCATTGACTGTTGCGGTGGCGGCTGCGGTTTGGTTTGTCAGAAGGGCCTCGATTTGCTGAATCGCCGCCAGCATCTGTTTTACACCGGTGCGAAGGCTGGCGATGTCGCTCGTCGTCGTGTTGCCCTGGCCCTCCATTCCTGACATTGCGCGTTCAAAAACCGAAACGAGGGGCAGTAAACAACATGGAACCGGTTTTACGTACCCGAAATCGGTGTTTTACAGTCGTCGCCCCCGCGGTTATTGAAGACTCCGTTTGAGCGGTCGAAAAAACTGTCGCGTGTAAACGGGCTCTGATTACCAAGTGTGAGGATCTAGGATCGAGCTCAGAAAAGAGAGTTTGAATTGAATGAATCACCTGGGTACAACATCGGGGCTATATATAGGCTCGACACAAGGCCGAGTAACTAGGTGTTACGAGAAGGTTTCGAGGGTTGCGAAGCGTCCCGAACAAACCCTTCCCGAATTCTGTAGAAGGTATTTTGGTGGCAACCAAAAAGCCCAGAATTCGGTGTACGCAATCTAGCTCGGTGTTATAACTATAATAAAATATAGGAAAGCACCTAGCCTAGGAAATCAAGCAATTCATGCATGCATAAAATAAACCTATGCTAGAAATAGCATAATAAAGTCTAGGCAAGCAAGCATAGCTGGCATAAGCCATCGTACTCTCACAGTGCCTCTCTGTCCTCTGTCTCCGCTCTTACTGCTGCTGTCAATGGGTTTGCCTCTACTCGCCGCCTTGACTACGCCACCAGTTTTTTGGCTGCTCCTCCTACCAGTCCTCTGGCCGTCGGGGGTGAGTCTGCCCTTGGCTGTGACGCCCTAGAGGATAGGCAGTTTGAGCTAGAGTTCGTGGCAGCCGCTTCCCTGTGCCACGTTGCTCGTTCTTGAGGGAGACCCCGACGCCCTTGACATACCGACTCCTTGCACTTACGCTGAGGCAGTGTCAGGGCCTTGGGCCTCTCAGTGGAGAGCTGCCATGGATGCAGAGATGGCCTCCTACAGATCCACAGGCACCTACGTCGACGAGGTTCCCCCCCTTGGGGCGAACGTAGTCGATGGCATGTGGATCTTCAGGGTGAAGCGGCCACCGGGATCTCCTCCGGTCTTCAAGGCGCGCTATGTGGCTAGAGGTTTCAGTCAGCGCGAGGGAGTTGACTTCTTTCAGACCTTCAGTGCGAGGGAAGATGACCACTCTTCGGGTGTTACTTCACGTAGCAGCACAGAGAGACTACGAGCTACACTCTCTCGACTTCTCCACTGCCTTCCTTCAGGGTAGCCTACACGAGGAGGTCTGGTTGCATCGTCCCTCTGTGTTCACTGGCACTTTTCCTCCTAGGACCTAGTGGAGGCTGAGGCGACTAGTCTACGATCTCCGTCAGGCTCCTTGTGAGTGGCACGACACCTTTCGTTCTACCCTGTCTGATATCGGTTTCCATCCGTCTTCTGCATATCCGTCGTTGTTTGTTCGTCGTGGCTCCACATCGCTCTTTGTACTGGTCTACGTCGACGACTTGGTTTTCGCCCCTGCTGACAGGGTTGTTTTGGGTGACATGAAGCGCGAACTGCAGAAGAGACACGCGTGCACTGACCTTGGTGAGCTACCACCACCTGGGCCACTACCTGGGCCTGTTAATTACTAGAGACAGAGCCGCTCGCACCATTACACTCTCACAGTCACACATGGTGCAGCAGGTCCTTCAGCGGTTCGAGCTTCAGCACTCCACAGTACAGTGCACACCTCTTGCTGTTGACCACAGACTCACTGGACCCTTCAGAGGCTGGCGAAGTACCTAGCGACGACATCAGGCGTGGGGCTGGTTCTTGGAGGGAGACAGTCTGTCGTACTTACTGGACACTGTGACTGTTTTTACCCTGAAGACGCCGAGACTCACAAGGTTATTCAAGGTTACTGCTTCATCCTGGACTCTAGAACTATTTCGTGGAGGTCCACGCGTTCCTCCTCGGTCTCGACCTCTACCGCTGAGGCTGAGATCTACGCTGGAGCCACGGATGCACAGGAGCTGCGTTGGTTGACCTTCTTGCTCACAGACCTTGGTGAGCGGTCGAGCTCTGCACCGACCTTGTTCACTGACAACAAGGCGTCGATTCTCCTCTGTCGTGAGCCGCGACTGGAGAGCTGAGTGAATCACATCAACTTCAGCTACTTTCTCTTGTGAGAGTTGCAGAGACGCTGACAGGCTCGCTTCGACTTTGTGGAGTCCGAGGCCAACACTGCAGACATCTTCACCAAGGCCTTTCCGCCTTATGACCACCAAAGGTCTTGTTGACACCGGCTCTCACATTGCGTAGTCTTGAGTTCTCTCCTTGCTTTGTTTGTATGTTTTATATTTACCTTTGTGAACTCCTGAACTGGCCTTGTGGCTCTTTTGCTTGTGCCCAGAGTTTGTGGTGACATTGTGATCCACTCTGAGCTTCGTTGCTTTGTGACTGGTCTTTTTGTCAAATTATATGCCTGTGTCATAATAAAATGTAGGCTTTAGCGGGGTAGCTAATGTAGGGTATAGGTTTTGTTACTTGTACCCAACTTTCTCGATAGTGCAACCATCCTTTCCTTTACTCTCGACATGGTATTAAGAGCAACATAGGTCCTTAGGACCGTTTTAGGACTGTTTTTTCAGGGCCCACCAACCGTTTTCCGCCGGTTACCGAGTTACCCCGCCCCTTGCCTGCACTGCCCTGCGTCGCGCAGCCCTCGCGCTCGCCTCTGCTGGCCCTCGTACAGCCCGCTAACAGCCCGCCTGCTGCCTCGTCAGGCCCGCGCGTAGCTCGCTAGCTGCTTTGTCAGGCCCGCGCGCCGCCCCGCAGCCCCCGCGCTGCCTTCTCCTGCCCCGCGCGTCGCTCCGCAGCCCTCGCGCTGCATTCTACGGCCGCCGACGCGGCCTCGCCAGGTCGCTGCCGCTGACGCAACCCCCGCCCTGCCGCCGACGCGTCCCCGCCCTGCTGCCGACGCGGCCCCGCCTGGCCTGCGCGCTGCCCCACGTCGCCCGTCGCGGCGCCTGTGGGACCCGCGCGCTGCCCTGCACCAGAGACGCCGCCCCTGGAGCAGCCGCCCCTGGACCCAGAGCAGCCGCCCCTGGCCCCTGCAGCAGCCGCCCCTGGAGCAGCCGCCCCTGGACCCAGAGCAGCCGCCCCTGGCCCCTGCAGCAGCCGCCCCTGGTGCAGCCGCCCCTGGACCCTCGAGCAGCCGCCCCTGGACCCAGAGCAGCCGCCCCTGGCCCCTGCAGCAGCCGCCCCTGGAGCAGCCGCCCCTGGACCCAGAGCAGCCGCCCCTGGCCCCTGCAGCAGCCGCCCCTGGACCCTCGAGCAGCCGCCCCTGGACCCAGAGCAGCCGCCCCTGGCCCCTGAAGCAGCCACCCCGGGAGCAGCCGCCCCTGGACCCAGAGCAGCCGCCCCTGGCCCCTGCAGCAGCCGCCCCTGGAGCAGCCGCCCCTGGACCCAGAGCAGCCGCCCCTGGCCCCTGCAGCAGCCGCCCCTGGTGCAGCCGCCCCTGGACCCAGAGCAGCCGCCCCTGCAGCTGCCCCTGGACCCGAGCAGCCGCCCCTGCAGCAGCCGCCCCTGGCCCCTGGAGCAGCCGCCCCTGCAGAAGCCGCCCCTACCCCTGGAGCAGTCGCCCCTGCAGCAGCCGCCCCGGGACCTCTGCAGCCGCCCCTGGCCCCTGGAGCAGCCGCCCCTGCAGCAGCCGCCCCTGGCCCCTGGAGCAGCCGCCCCTGGCCCCTGGAGCAGCCGCCCCTGGAGCAGCTGCCCCCTGCAGCTGCCGCGGAGCCCTCGCCCTGCAGTGGTGCCGGCCTTGCCGTTGCCACCATCGTACGAGTGCCCTTCGTGCCACTGGTGAGCACTGTCCTACCTGTACTAGTACTGCTACTGCTGCTCCTGCTGCTACTGCTGCTCGTGCTGCTCCTACTGCTACTGCGCTTTCTACTGCTACTGCTGCTCCTGGCGTGGCCAGATGCAGCTCCAGCGCCGTCCGCGTGAGTCCCTCACGCCCCAACAGCTTTGTGAATGGTACGCTCGTTGGGGTTGTCGGGGTGGCCGTAGTGGGAGTCGTTTTGGAGTGAGTAGTTCCGGAGCTTCTTGTAGTGGCCAGGAGCAGCTGCGGCGTCGTGTGCGCGCGGTCCCGTCGCCCCCGCAGCTTCATGAGTGGTACGCTCAGCGTGGAGGATCACGGGGTTCTGCTCACTGTCCGTACGTCATTCGCACTGGTGCTAGGACTGACCAGCCTTGCGGGACGTTTGGTCACACAGAGTCCCGCTGCTTCGCCTGTCTGAGCGACGCCTGGCGTACAGAGTTTGGCGACGCGGCTGAGCTCCCCGACTGGGTGGAGCTGCTACGGCAGAGGGTAGATGTCTATGCTCTTGACTTTGATGCTATCCTCACTGCCATGTATGCATTGTCTACTAGTGATGCCGGTGACTGTTCCCTGAGTGTTAGCACCACTCTCACGCCGCTCAGTCGGCCGGTTGCGGTCTCCCTGGCAGACCCCTCTGGGGGTCCTGTTCTTGCCCACTACTCCACTGTACTACCGTGTCCAGCGGTCCCGTCTGGCTCCCTGTCGGGTCTTTACCTCCCCTCGTTCTCTACGAACTTGGTGGCAGGTGCTGACCTACAGGATGGGGGGGTTGACCAGTTCACCCCTGCGCATTAACGAGTGACCCACTGCACGTGTGCAGAGACGGGCCGACACTTGGCCACGTTTACCCGTCGGCCAGGGTCGAGCCTGTACACCCTGACTACCGAGTCTCCTCCGGTTGCTGTGCCTGGTCAGGTAGCTGCGTCGGGTCAGGTGTTTGCTGCAGCGTCTCGGTCTGGTCCTGAGTCTGCCCCCTGCTCGTGTCGCCTCCTGTCCCACGAGACTCTTCTCTGGCACCACCGTCTTGGTCACCCCTCCCTGCCTCGTCTCCGAGGCATGGCCTCTCGTGTCCTGGTCTATGGTCTACCCCGGTCTCTCCCTCCCCTCCCTCCGGGGCCTGCCCCTACCTGCGTTCCCTGCGTCGAGGGGCGGCAGCGCGCTGCTCCTCACTCCTCCGAGTTTCCGCCGACAGAGGCTCCGCTGCAGACTCTCCACATGAACGTGTGGGGCCCAGCCCGCGTCCGTGGACAGGGTCACGAGCGCTACTTCCTGCTGGTGGTTGACGACTACTCGCGTTACACCACAGTCTTCCCCTTGCGCCGCAAGGATGAGGTCACTGAGGTGTTGATCGACTGGATCCGCGCTGCTCGTCTCCAGCTCAGGAAGAGTTTCGGCTCGGACTTTCCTGTTCTGCGTCTGCACTCTAACAGAGGTGGTGAGTTTTCCTCCGGCCCTCTGCGAGCCTTCTGTCATGCGAGGGGCATCCGCCAGACGTTCACGCTTCCGGCCTCTCCACAGCAAAATGGGATTGCTGAGCGCCGCATTGGCATGGTCATGGATGTCGCTCGCACGTCCATGATCCATGCGGCTGCTCCCCATTTTCTGTGGCCGTTTGCGGTTCAGTACGCGGCGCGTCAGATCAACCTCCATCCCCAGGTCTCCATGCCGGACACCTCCCCCACTCTGAGGTGGACGGGGCAGGTTGGCGATGCGTCTGCGTTTCGTGTCTGGGGATCTCGCGCTTTTGTCCGATTCTTGTCTACGGACAAGCTGTCCTCCCGTGCTGTTCCCTACATCTTCCTTGGCTTCCCCCCTGACGCGCCTGGTTGGCAGTTTTACCACCCCACCTCGCGCCGTGTTCTGTCCTCCCAGGACGTCACGTTTGACGAGTCGGTTCCGTACTACCGTCTCTTCCCCTACCGCGCTGCCCCCCTTCCCCCCCCGCCGCTCTTCCTTACGCCAGGTCCCCCCCCGGTAGACCCCCTCCCCCCTCAGGGTCCTGCTCCTTCAGGTGTGTCTCAGGTAGACCCCCCCCCCTTGGCTGAGCCTTTGGAGGTCACTTCCGACACCTCTGGCTCACCTGAGGGGGGTGACGCTGCTGCTGCTGCCCTGGCGGCCTACCGCCGCGCACCACGCTTGGAGACCCCTCCGGGGTTCCCTCCGCGACCTTCTTCGCCGCCTCTGCAGCCGGTTACTGTTGACTCTGGTGCTGTTGGGGGTGGTGCTCCTGGAGGTGCTGCGTCTGGGGGTGCGGAGTCTGGGGGTGCTGAGCCTGCGCGTGAGGAGACTGGAGGTCCTGCGCCTGGGGGTGCTGTGTCTGGGGGTACTGAGCCTGTGTGCGCGGAGTCTAGGGGTGCTGAGTCTTGAGGTGAGACACTTGACGATACTGGGACTGCTGGTGCACGGCCTACTTGGAGTGGCCGCCTTCGTCCGCGTGTGCCTCTCACCACTCAGCAGCTGCACGACTGGTACGGTCGCCGTCAGCGTCGCGCTGCTGGAGCCCGGGGCTCTGCTGCTGGAGGTACTGGAGCTGCTGGGGCTGGGGGTGCTGCGCCTGGAGGTGCCGCTGCTGGAGACACTGAGGCTGGCGACCCTGGGACTGGAGGTGCTGGTTCTGGGGGTGCTGCTGCGGGAGACACTGCGGTTGGAGACCCTGGGACCGGAGGTGCTGGTTCTGGGGGTGCTGCTGCGGGAGACACTGCGGTTGGAGACCCTGGGACCGGAGGTGCTGGTTCTGGGGGTGCTGCTGCGGGAGACTCTGCGGTTGGAGACCCTGGGACTGCAGGTGCCGGTTCTGGGGGTGCTACTGCTGGTGGCACTAGCTCTGGAGCTGCTGGCGCTGGAGGTCTTGGTTCTGAGGCTGGAGCTTCTGGAGCTGCTGGAGGCACTGGAGCTGCTGGAGGTGCTGGAGCTGCTGGAGCTGCCGGAGCTGGTGCAGCTGCGCCGACACGACTGTTCTTTGCTCCGCCGTCTCCGTCGTCGCTGCCACCGTCTGACTCTGTTCTTCGTCAGGTTCTTACTCTCCCGTCGTCCACTGGTCTTCCGTTACCGCCTGGCTCACCGCTCCCTGCTCCTTCCCCTTACACTGAGCAGGCTGGTGGTCTTGCTGAGCGTCGTGAGCCTGCGTCACGTCCTGTCTCGCCTGTTCGTTCTGGTCGTACCGGTCGTCGTGTCGCTAGTGCACGTCAGCCGGCTGTCCCCAGCGCACACCTTGTAGTCCGTCGTCCTTCCTCTGCTCCTCTGCCTTCCCCCCCTGCGTCCTCTCTGCCTGCCGTTCCGGACCCTGCGTCTGACCGGTTTCGTGCTGAGCACCCTACTGTCACGCGTCTGTTAGCTACTGTCGTCACTGACCCGTCGTTTGAGTCCACTGCTGCGTCTGCCTTAGTTGCTAAGCTTGTTGACTTTGCTGCTGCCTGTCGTCTCGACTACGCCGCTAGTCTTGTTGCTGAGTCTGAGTCTGTCTGTCCTCCGTCCGTCGGGGGTGAGTGTGCTCTTAGCACGGATGTCCTTGAGGACAGGCAGGAGGAGTTCCAGTGTCTTGCTACTGCTTTACCTCATCTTGTGTCCTCACTGCTTGCCCCTGAGGGAGACCCGGATGCATTAGACATCCCGACTCCGTGCTCTTACGCGGAGGCGATAGAGGGTCCCTACTCCTCTCAGTGGCAGGCAGCCATGGACGCAGAGATGGCTTCCTGGAAGTCCACAGGCACCTACGTAGACGAGGTTCCCCCACCTGGGGCGAACATCGTCAGTGGCATGTGGATTTTCAGGGTGAAGCGGCCGTCGGGTTCTCCGCCTGTCTTCAAGGCGCGTTACATGGCTCGAGGCTTCAGTCAGCGGCAGGGAGTTGACTACTTTCAGACCTTCTCTCCCACCCCGAAGATGACCACTCTTTGGGTACTGCTGCACATAGCCGCTCACCGTGACTACGAGCTTCACTCTCTGGACTTCAGCACAGCTTTCCTACAGGGCAGCCTGCACGAGGAGATCTGGCTGCGCCGCCCACCTGGCTTCACTGGGTCGTTTCCTCCTGGTACCCAGTGGAGCCTCCGGCGGCCAATCTACGGTCTCCGCCAGGCGCCGCGTGAGTGGCACGACACACTGAGGACTACGCTTGCGGCTCTTGGGTTTGCTCCTTCTACTGCAGACCCGTCGCTGTTTCTACGCACCGACACCTCTTTGCCGCCGTTCTACATCCTCGTGTATGTCGACGACTTGGTTTTTGCTACAGCTGACACTGCAGGACTCGCCCACGTGAAGTCGGAGCTGCAGAAGAGACACACGTGCACAGACCTGGGTGAACTGTGCAGCTATCTTGGCTTGCAGATCACTCGGGACAGAGCACGGCGCACCATTACCCTGACTCAGTCACACATGGTGCAGCAGGTCCTTCAGCGCTTCGACTTCACGTACTCCTCGCCTCAGGCCACTCCTCTGTCTACTCGCCACTCACTCTCAGCTCTGCCTTCGGATGAGTCCGTAGAGCCGAGTGGCCCGTACCCAGAGCTTGTTGGTTGCCTCATGTACCTGATGAGGTCATCAGGTACACACGACCTGACCTGGCCTACCCTCTTAGCATCCTGGCACGCTATGTTGCTCCTGGGAGACACCGACCAGAGCACATGGCTGCAGCGAAGAGGGTGTTGCGCTACTTGTGCAGTACGTCGGGCATGGGGCTCGTGCTTGGAGGGCGGAGTCGAGTGGTCCTCACTGGTCACGCAGACGCGTCTTGGGTCGACGACCTGGCTACGCAGCGGTCGTCACAGGGTTACACCTTCAGCCTTGGTTCCGGCTCTGTTTCGTGGCGGTCTACCCCCTAGTCCTCTGTTCTCAGCTCCAGCTGTGAGGCTGAGATCTACGCAGGAGCCATGGCTGCTCAGGAGTTACGCTGGCTGACCTACCTGCTGACTGACCTTGGAGAGCCGCCTCGTTCTCCTCCAGTTCTGTACGTAGACAACAAGGCCATGCTGGCCTTGTGTCGGGAGCACAGACTGGAGCACAGAACGAAGCACATTGCTCTTCGCTACTTTCTTGCTCGTGAGCTGCAGCAGCGTGGTCAGCTGCGCCTTGCGTACGTGGCCTCTCAGGCCAACACTGCTGATATCTTTACCAAGGCACTTCAGCCTTGTGATCATCAGCGCTTTTGTACGATGCTAGGTCTTGTGCCTACTTGGCCTCACTTGCTCACTTCTTGACCTTGTTTGTACTGTGACTTACCGTGATCTCCCGGTTAGAAGACCCGGGGGTCTTATCCTAAATGTTCTAAAAATGACTTGTGGGGTCTTATTTGATGGCACATAGTGCATAAGACCCCCGGACATCTAATAATTACAAAAAATGGATTCTGTATTACGGTGTTGAAGAAATTCAAACAAAATGTACCGATTTCCGGGTTCCTTCACAACGCGGAGTTCTGTTCTCTAATTCTCGAATTGCATTCTTGCTGATTCCCATCCACACGCTCTGACATGCCCAATCATGACAGTTACGTCAATGCTTCTTGAGTGACGGACAGCAAAGACGCGAGATCGATGTGGCGTTTTGACTGACTTGTCCACAGATTTGCTCGAGAAAGTGAATCTGGTGGTTCTTTTTTTGTGACTCGCTAACCAATTTACCGTTTAAACAACAGTCATAATAGCGTATTGCAAAAAGAGGGGGGGTCTTATATTTATTAGGGTCAAAAGACGGGTCCTCTACAGGAATGACATAATAAAAGACCCCTGGTCCGGATAAAGGACCCAGGGGCTTGTACGCGGGGGGGGTCTTCTTGCCGGGAGATTACGGTATATATACCTGCTCTTGTTTGTTTCGCTTTGTATATAATCCTGCATGTGAACTGGCCTGGTGGCCTTGAACATGTGCTCGGAATGTGTGGTGACATTGTGATCCACCCTGAGCTTGCTTTGCTTCTCTTGACTGGTCCTGTGACCCCTTGCTCCCCCACTTTGCCTATGGGGGTGTGTCAAATTATATGCCTGTGTCATAATAAAATGTAGGCTTTAGTGGGGTAGCTAATGTAGGGTATAGGTTTTTGTCAAACTATATGTGCTGCATATTGTCTAGGCTGTAGTGGGGTAGCCCATATGGGGTACAACCCAATTAGGGTTTACTACTTGTAAACCCGCATCCTGTTAGTTCATCCATTCCTGCTGCTAGATTCTGACATGGTTTCAGAGCACTAAGGTCCGTAGGACCATTTTTTTTCGGGCCCACCTACCGCTGCGGTTACCGCGCTACCCCACGTACCTGCCTGCCTTGCCTTGCCTTGTGACGTGCTGCACTATGCGCGCCGTCCAGCAGCCCTAGCGCTGCCTCCTGCTGCCTTAGGCCAGCGCGCTGCCCCTAGAGGCCCGTAAGGCCCACGCGCCGCCCCTAGAGGCCCGTAAGGCCCGCGCGCCGCCCCTAGAGGCCCGTAAGGCCCGCGCGCCGCCTCTACACGCCCGTCAGGCCCGCGCAGCCCGCTGCAGCCGCGCGCAGCCCGCACAGAGCCCACGCAGCCCGCGCCGAGCCGCGCGCAGCCCGCTGCAGCCGCGCGCAGCCCGCAGCTGCCGCGCGCAGCCCGCGCCGAGCCCACGCAGCCCGCGTCGAGCCGCGCGCGGCCTGCTACGGCCTCGCGAGGCCCGCGCGCGGCCCGCAGCAGCCCGCGCCGAGCCGCGCGCGGCCTGCTACTGCCTCGCGCGGCCCGCGCGCGGCCCGCAACAGCCCGCTCCGAGCCGCGCGCGGCCTGCAGCAGCTCAGCGCGCTGTCAGCGCAGCCCGCGCCGAGCCGCGCGCGGCCCTCTGCCTCGGCCCCGACCTGCCGCTGATGCGGCCCCGCCCTGCAGCTGCCACGGCCCCGACCTGCCGCTGATGCGGCCCCGCCCTGCAGCTACCACGGCCCCGACCTGCCGCTGATGCGGCCCCGCCCTGCAGCTTCCACGGCCCCGACCTACCGCTGACGCGGCCCCACCCTGCTACTGCCACTGAAGCGGCCCCGCCCTGCAGCTGCTTCGGCCCTACTCTGCAGCCGGTGTTGCGGCCCCGACGCCGCCGCTGTCGTGCGCCTACTCGGCCGCCGCCGTCGAGCGCCGGCCCTGCTCGCCCGGTGATCGCCTGCTCTCCCAGCCTTTGGTGAGCGCCTGCCTGCCTGCCTGACGGCCTGCCTGTCTGCCTGCCTGCCTGCCTGGCTGCCTGCCTGCCGGCCTGCCTGTCTGTCTGCCCGCCTGCCTGCCTGCCTGCCTGTCTGCCTGCCTGCCTGCCTGCCTGCCTGGCTGCCTGCCTGCCTGCCGGCCTGCCTGCCTGCCTGCCTGCCTGCCTGCTTGCCTGCCTGCCTGCCGCGCCTGCCCTGCCCGCGCTACTGCTGCTGCTACTGCTACTGGCAGGTGGCCAGATGCAGCTCCAGCGACGTTCACGCGAGCCTCTCACGCCCCAGCAGCTTGATGAGTGGTATACTAGCTGGGGTTGTCGCAGTAGCCGTCGTAGCTGTCGCCCTGGAGCTGGTCAGTTGGGAGCGTCTGGCAGTGGCCAGCTGCAGCTGCAGGGGCGTCCACGTGAGACACTTACGCCCCGGCAGCTCCAGGAGTGGTATGCTCAGTGTAGCAGGTCTACGCGTACAGTTCGCTGCCCGTACGTCATTCGCACAGGTGCTAGGACTGGTCAGCCTTGTGGGACGCTTGGTCACACACAGTCCCGCTGCTTCGCCCGTCTGAGCGACGACTGGCGCACAGTGTTTGGCGACGAGGCTGAGCTCCCCACCTGGCTGGAGCTGCATGGACAGAGGGTAGATATCTTTGCGCTTGACTATGATGCTATTCTCACTGCCATGTATGCATTGCCTACTAGTGCTGACCGTGCCTGTTACCTGTGCGTACCGCCTGACCCTGGTATAGAGCCTGCTGCTCTCGGTGCTGGTGAGGCTGCTGCTCTAGGTGCTAGTGCGTCTCCTGCTCTAGGTGCTGGTGAGGCTGCTGCTCTCGGTGCTAGTACGTCTTCTGCTCTAGGTGCTGGTGAGGCCGTGGCTTCAGGTGCTGGTGAGTCTGCTCTCTCTGGTACTGCGCCCACTACGGTCTCGCACACCTTCACCCTTGACTCAGGAGCTTCCCGCTCCTTCTTTCGCGACTGCACCACACTCACGCCGC